ATGAGGTAACCTTGGGCACATCACTAAATCTCTCTGGGTCTGAGCTTCCTCTCCAGCAACACAAAAGGTTTGAGCAGATGACCTCCAATGTCCCCTCCAGCTCGAAATCTGTAATTCTGTGACTTAGCTGGACTCAATGAACACTTTATTGGGCTTTTTTGTACACCCACTGGGGAGAGTCACACATGCTTGAGCTGTCAGATTGAGAACCAAAAGGGGGCCCACCATCCTGAATGTAGCAGGTGCTGAGAGCATGCAAAGTAGCAGTTATTTTTCTATGGTCAGGCACTCTCATTAAACTCTTTGAGGTGGCAAAGAATTTGAACCTCTCCAAGGGCCAAGACCCTCCCCTCTAAGCCAAGATCCTCCTCTCCAAGCACCAGTACCCTGCTCTCCAAGCTAAGACCTTCCTCTCCAGGCACCAAGACCCTCCTCTCTAAGTCAAGACCCTTCTCTCAAAGCCAAGACTTTCCTCTCTAAGACAAGACCCTCCTCTCCAAGCCAAGACCTTCCTCTCCAAGCCAAGACCTTCCTCTCCAAGTACCAAAACCCTCCTCTCTAAGCCAAGACCCTCCTCTCCAAGCACCAAGACCCTCCTCTCCAAGCATCAAGACCTTCCTCTCTAAGCCAAGACTCTTCTTTCTAAGCCAAGATCCTCCTCTCTAAGCCAAGACCCTCCTCTCTAAGCCAAGACCTTCCTCTCCAAGCACCAAGACCCTCCTCTCCAAGCCAAGACCCTCCTCTCTAAGCCAAGACCCTCCTCTCCAAGCACCAAGACCCTCCTCTCCAAGCCAAGACCTTCTTCTCTAAGCCAAGATCCTCCTCCCCAAGCACCAAGATCCTCCTCTCCAAGCCAAGACCCTCCTCTCTAAGCCAAGACCCTCCTCTCCAAGCACCAAGGCCTTCCTCTCTAAGCCAAGACCTTCCTCTCCAAGCACCAAGACCCTCCTCCCCAAACACCAGGACCCTCCTCCCCAAGCACCAAGACCCTCCTGTCCAAGCCAAGACCCTCTTAGGGACAATCAGCTTTCAGGTGAGCCAGAGTTCTTGGTGAGCAGGTAACTTTTAGAGCCAGAGAGGAGTCTTCCTTGACCTGGGCCCTGCCTTTCCATGGGCTCCTGTGGCCCCAGGATAAGTACAACCAACACTTTCATGCTTTTGCTCCTGCCATCCACCTAAATGCTAAAATCACAGTGGATGCCTCATTGGACCTGGAGTCAGAAAAACTTGGGTTCAAACCCCACCTCAAATGGCTTATTAGCTGTGTGACACTGGGTAAGTCACCCCTCTTCTCTGAGCCTGAGTCTCCTCATCTGTCAAATAAGGGGGATAGATTTGCCTTTGAATCTATGCTCTTCCGAATGAGAGATCCAAAATGAAGTCTTTGGAATTCTGTCAAGAAATTCTCTGCCTTATTCCATTCTCAAAACGAAATTCATTTAAATGCATCCTAATTTAAAAATTATAACCAAACCTCTCCAGTTAGAACTAATTGGAAAAGGTCAGTCTACTAGGGGAAAAAAAATCTTTAACAGTATTTGAAAAGAATGTTGATGTAATTATAAATACCCAAACTGTTACTTAGACCTTAGGGAATCAGCTTTAATGAAGAGATGAAAATCATTCGAAATCAACACGAGTTGTTTGCATGTCAAATGGTTCTCCTAGAACCGCAGAGCCCCTCACACTATGCACCTAGCTCCCTTAACTCCCCTCCCACTTCTGCAGCTTCTCAGGAGCTGAGACAATCATTAGAGATTGATGGAAGGGCCCCTGGCAGCCCCTAGCCTATCTCTTTTATTTTAGAGATGGAGAGAGTAAGGACCAGAGAAGGGGAAGGACACAGTGAGGTCACTCAGCTACCAAGAGACGGTGGATCCAGGCCTAGAGCTCAAGGTCCTCTAAGGCCTTCCCAGTCAAGGGCTCTTTCCATACGGCATGATGCTCCTGGCTTTCCGCCTCCCAGGTAAGGATCCCTTTTGTGTTAGGGGAGCTGGCTTGGTACATCAAGGTCTCACTTGGACCGCTCCAGCCCCCAGGTCTTTTCCCTGGGCCTAGGAGGAAGCTGAAGGAAGACAATTGGGTAAGAGTCAGCTCTTACTCAGAGGATTAGTACCAAATGTCAAATGGAGACAGGGCCCACCGGTGGTGGAGGGATGAGTTTATCATTAACCCATTGCATTTTGGGAATTAGGAACAAAGCAGCCATTAACTAGTTGTGTAACCTTGGACAAATGATTTCCCCTCCTCTTGGCCTTTAGTCTCCTGGTCTTTCAGAGCTGCTGTGAAAAGCAGAGAGGAATCATGGCAGAGTTCTCTAATATGTACCTCCCACTGACCAGCAAGCTGAGGAGACCTAGAAAAATTTTATGGGACGCAAGGCAACCTCACGGCTGGCCCCTGGCACTCCTATATTCCTCCTGGGTTCTCTCTCAAGAGATACACGCAGAGCATCTTCTATGAAGAGATGAGAAAGGACGGAAGCATCTGAGGAGGTGGTCAGAGAGGGAAGGCACCCAGGATTACTGCAGTGGTCCAAATATAGGCCATGCCCCCCTCAAATAAGTTCTATTTGAGAGGAAAAAAATGTACACACTGAATAACTAACATTTCTTCTAGGCTATGGTCAGTTTTTGTACACACTGGACTTTGGGGAAAGGTGTGGTTTACATTCAGATCAATATGGTATGAGTAGAGTGGATGAGAAAAAAGCCCAGCGCCCTAGTGATGTTCCAAAGGAAAAGAGCTCTAGCCAGGGCCACATCGTACACTTCTGTTCTAACATCCATCATGCCTAGCATATGTTAATGCAGAAATAAGTTCTGCCTTCTGTGAAATGACTTAGTGCTCAGGCTCATAGATTAGGGGCCAATCTCCTTTTACAAAGGAGGAATCTGGGGCCCAGGGAGGGGAAGGGACTTACCCAAGGTCACACATAGCACCACTGACCCAGAGCTGGATGGGACCTCAGAGGCCATGTAGTCCAACTCCTTAATTTTACAGAAGAGGAAACTGAGGCGAAGGACAAGGAAATGGCTTGTCCAAGGTCACACAAACCAACCCTGGTACCATATTCTCCTTCCAGTTGTGGTTATTTCTGTATGTCTTATCTTCCCTACTAAGAGTTCCATGAGGGCAGAGAGCAAGTCTGAATCTTAGCTCTATTCCCACTGCCTGGCATATGGTGGGTAGTTCAAATGAAAGCACTTTGGAGTTGATGAATGTACTCAGCAAAGAAGGGGATCCTGTTACTGTTTTCCCTAGGAGAGGGTAACTAGCTTGGATTCAGTCCAGCTTGGCCCCCAAACAGAGGGACCCCCCAATCTCCTCGAATTATGTGGTGAGACCCTTCTCAAGGACAAAGCTTCCTGGGGGAAAACATTTTACAGTTAGTTGAGGAAATGGAGGTCCAGAGAGGTGAAGGATTTGGAGTTTTGGGTTGGGGTGCAAATTTTGGCTGCCTTACTGTGTGACCTTGGACCAGTTCCCCTCTCCGGGTCTGTTTCCTCCTCTATCAAATGAGGGGATTAGCCTCGATGGCACTGAGGGTCATTCTAGCTAGGATTCTGCGAAAGTCCTCCATCGTGCAAGTATCAGAAGCAGTACCCAAAAGACTGCTTGGAATTCAGGATTCCCCGGGGGGGTTGAGTCTCACCTGGCCCATTCACTCAAAGAGGGACTGTCCTTTCTCAAGGCTTCCGTTTTCTCCTCTGCAAAACGAGGCTAATGACGCGCCCTGCTCCCCACGTGGTGGGGAACCTGCTGAGGTTCTGGGAGCGCCCTCCACGAGACCCTGTGCCTCGGCGGAGACGGCACACCGGCTCGGCACGGCACGGACAAGGGCGCGGCCAGATGTGGGCCCCAGACCGAGCTATCGAAGCAGCTGGAGGTGGGGGTGTGTGTGGTGTGGCCAAGCAGGCATTGTGAACCGCTCTCTGCGCGTCCGCGCGGAGGGCACCGGGGTCCATGCACACACGCGCACACGCGACGCCCCGCACGCACCCGCCGGTTCCCTTGACGATCCGGGGACGTGCGTGGGCGTGCGTGACCGCATCCCCCCGCCCCCGGCGCCGAGCTCGGGGGGCCGGGGCAGGTGGAGCGAGGTGGAGCGGGGCGGAGCGCGCGCGCGCGCCCCCATCCCCGCCCGCTCAGCGCGCTCCTCTGGGCCTGGCCGCCCCCGCCCGCCCCCGCCCGCCCCCCGCCCGGCCCCGCCCGGCCCGGCCTGGCCCGCAAGCTCCCGCTCTACCTCTACCTCGCAAGCACGCGGCCGGTCGCCCCGCACACTCGCGCAGGGCATGCAGGTGCGCTGCCCCGGGGCAGGTACTTCAGGCATCCATCCAGGCCCCCCAGCCGCGGGGTCGGCACGGGCCGCGCGCCCTCCAGGCGGGTGGGGCAGCAAAGCCGGAGCCACGGCGCCCCCACCATTGGCCTCGACCCGATCGCGCTAGGCCGGCTCTCCTCCCACCGGCATCCCGGCCCCCGCCCCGATGCCATCCCAGTACCAGCCCCCACGCCTGGCCGCCACGTACTGCCCCCCCCCACTCCCGCCCCACCTCATCCCTATCTTTGCACCCTGACTCGCGAACACTGCACCCTTAATCTCAGTCCGTGCATCTTCTGGTTCCAAACTGCACCAGAGACTCCCACACTGCATCCCGACTTCCAGCCCTGCATGACGTCCCCGCACTACACCCAGGCCCCCCAAACGCAGTATGGCTTCCCGCACAGTCCCTTGGTCCCCAACGCTACCTACCCCCTACATACTGTTCACTGTCTGCCACCCCCCCCCCGCGTCAACATCCCTGCATCTGTGATACCCTTCCCCCCTTCCCCCCCCCCGGGTTTCCTGGAGCCCAGCTCCATCCCCATGGCCCGATCTCCAAGCGTACACGCAGCCGCTGTTTCTCCAGCTCCAATACCTAGGTGTAGATTTCAAGAGCTGGGGTGCTTGGGGGGGGGGAACTCGGGCCGATTGGGGGCTCAGGGCGAGAGGGACTTACCCGGCCATGGTCACCGGCCCAGGCAGCAGCGGGATCTTGCGGGCGGGGCGGGGTTGTGAGGCTTTGGGGGAGGCTACAATAAAATACAGTAATAAATAAAAGAAGATAAATCCCCGGAGAAAGGCCAGGTCTCGGCCAATGGAGTTGGGAAAAAGAGAGGGGGGAATGAGGTGGGGGTGGGGGATCAGAGGAGGAGAGGGATGAAGGAAGAGAGAGAAAGGGGAGGAGAGAGGGAGAGGGAGAGGGAGAGAGAGAGAGAGAGAGAGAGAGAGAGAGAGAGAGAGAGAGAGAGAGAGAGAGAGAGAGAGAGAGAGAGAGAGAGAGATGGGGAAGAGAGACAGAGACAGAGGGCTGGGGCGGGGGTGGCTGCCGCCAGCGTCCTTCCACTACATACATACGGCACCGGCACGGGACGGGCGGAGACGCGACACGCCACGCAGGTCTCCAGCCGCAGGTCTCCAGCCGCAGCTCTGAGATCTCAGGGAGGGAGGACACGGCCAGCCAGAGGGGAGGGGAAGGATGGGGTGGTCTGTGGAAGACGGGAGAGGGGAGAGTAGAGGGTGGGGGAAGGGGAGGGGAAGGGAGAGGGTGGTCCCTGGAAGGAGGGAGAGGATGGTTAGAGGGAGGGGAAAAAATGGGTGGTCCCAGAAGGAAGGGAGGGTGGGCTCTTCTTAGAGGGAGGGTGACTGGGTGGTCCCTGGAAAGGGAGGGCACTGGAGAGAAGGTGCTCCATGGAGGGAAGGGGAGGAGAGATTGGTTCTGGGAAGGAGGGTGATCCATGGAGGAAAAAAAAAAGGTGGGCTATAGAGACACGGAGAGAAGAGCTGGTGGTCCTTAGAGAGTGGGAGAGGAGAGAAGGACATCCCTAAAAGGAAAGGGAAGGGGGAGAGCCTGGAGGAGAACAAGAGATCTAGGATGAGCGGCCCTTCTTTGGGTCCAAGTCTCTAAAATGCCTGGGGAATGATTGATTGGTTCCTAAAAGGCACAAGAGAGGAGTCTATGTGGAGGGAAGGAGACATTTAGACGGATGAACGGATGCCTGGCATGTTGCTCAGGCTATCACTGTGCCCCTTCCCCAAATTACTTTGTATTTAATTTGCATATATTTTGAATCTGCTTATCTGGGTACATGTTGATTTTCCCCAGTAGAAAGTAAGCTCTTTGAGGGGCAAGGGGTATACACACATACATATTGCTTCTAATCCAACACAGTGTCTGACACATAGTAGGTGCTAAATAAATGCTTATACTGAGTTGAATGAGAAGAGAGTTGTATGTGGAAAAAGAGAGGAGAAAGGGACCCAGGGAAGAAAGGAAAGAGGACAGTGGTTTCCCAAAAGGGGAGGGGGTCTCTGAAAGGAGAGGAGCTGGTTTTCGGAAAAGGAGAGGGAGATGGTAAAGGACAAGGGGTGGGCCATGAAAGGAGGTAGAGAGAGGAGTGAAAGGGTGGTTTGGGGAGGTGGGAGAAGGAATGGGGAAGGAGGCTATTCAGTGGCTTCTCATTGCTTGAAGGATAGGGTGTAAAGTCCTTTTTCTTTCTCAGAAGAGGCCAAAGGTTCCGGGAGGGCGATGAAGAATGGCATCAGGGTTCCTTAAGAGCCTGAGGGACGCCTAGCTTTTCCTATTGTTTCTACTTCTACTGGGAAGGCAATTGGAAAAGCAGACAAGATTGGGGTGGGGGGGATGGGGAAGTCCCTGGGGAGAGGTTCTGTTCAGGAACCGGGGCAGAAACAGTTGCTTTGAGTGGGTGAGGAGCCCACTGATCCCAGAGTGGGAAAGGATGAAGGACCAAGTTAAGAACCGAGACCAAATAGATACTCTGCAAGACCTGGTAGAATAAGAAGAGCGTGAGAAGGGGCGGTGAGGAAGTCTGGAAGCTAAGGGATGGCCACACTAGGGCTAGGTGGACTTCACAGGACTGTTTTCATCATTTCTTACTTTTTGGTTTAAACAAATCCATGAAAATCTCTCTTCCCTTCTCCTCTCATCTCCTGACTCCAGGCCTTTGTCCTGGTGCCTGACATGTACTCCCTCTTCCTCTCTGCCTTTTTAGACTCCCTAGTTCCCTTCAGAGCCCATCTCATAAGGCTTTCCCTGCCCCCTCTCCCCCCTTATTACTCCCACCCTCTCAAATGACTTACTGTTTAATTCTGCACATGTTTTCATGTGTGTATGTTTTGTGTATTTGCTTTCCCCCCTTCCCAGTAGAATGTAAGCTCCTCTGATGGCAGGAGTGTGGTGTTGTCTTTGTAGCCTCAGTGCCACTTGGAGTGTGGTGAGCTCTCAATAGATGTTTGATGAATTGACCTGAATGAAGAGGTGCTTTGGAAGAAAAGACGCTGAATGGGAACTGCCTGGAGTTCAGGGTTTGTCTGAGGGAAGGGACGTGGATTCTTGTCCTTTGCACTTGTCCACATCCATCCTTCTGAGCCTCATTTTCATTTGAGCTGTGGATTTCAAGAAAGAACTAGGCATTGACAGTGTGAAATGGCAGTCCTCAGACCCATGCTATTGGAGGCTGCACTGAGAGGCTGAGGGAGGTGAGAGACTGGAGGCTAGAGCTCACTTGGAACCCTAGGAGGAGTCCTGAGCACCATCTTTTAGAAATAACATGGAAAAAAACGAGAGGGTATCCAGAGGAGGCCCGTGGGGCTGGGAAAGAAGGGCCTTGGGTCCATTCAAGGTAAAGATTGGCTGAAGAATCAAGGGGAACACGAGCCATCCACAAGTATTTGAAGGGCTGTTCTAGGAAAGGGATTTGATTTTCTCCGCTTGACAATACTTCCTCCCCATTTGAGTTAGCCAGAAGTGGAGTGGACTGCCAGAAGGCAGGGGCTGAATGACTGGGAGGCAGCTAGAACTCTGAACTTGGTGTCGGGGAGACTGGAGCTGGATTCCTGCCGCAAACATTTACTTAGCTGTATGACAAGTCACTTCATCTCAGCCTCAGTTTCTGTATCCATAACATGAGGCTAATAATAGCACCTGCCTCCCAGTGACGTTCTAAGGATCAAATGAGATAATGTTTGGAAGCATTATGTAACCATAAATCTCTCTATATATGTTATCTATCATCATCATCATCATTGTTATTATTTGTCAAGGTATGTTATAGAGAGATTCCTGTTCAGGTAGGGATTGTACTAGATAGCTTCTGAGGACCCTTCTATCTCTACAGAATCTATGGAGGATCATGGGCAAGTCACTTTTCCTCCCAGACCTCAGTTTCCTTTTCTGTAAAATGAAGGGATCAGACTAGCTGGCCTTTGAGTCCCTTCCAGCCCTAGATCTGGGATCCTATGTGTGACCTTGGCCAAATCCCTTCTGTTCCTCGAGTCTCAGTTTCCTCCTCTGTAGAGTGTGTGGCTGGACTCCTGACCTCTGAGAGCTGGGATTTTGTAATTTGTATCTATTGGTGTTGAGGAGCCATTGAAGCTTTCTGAGCAGGTCAGAGATACAGGAAGCCTAGGGGTTGAGCCTCCCTTACCCAGTCCTGGGCACTCTCCCGCAGCTCCCCCACAGTGTGTGGCAGACTTGACTACTTAGGGTTTCTTCCCCAGAATAACCCTTACCCTGCTCTGAGCTGTGGAAAAAGCCTTCCTTTCTTGGCCTTGCCTCTTTCTGGTGCATCCTCCAAACCTTCTCTTCCTGCTTCGGTCCTGTAGGCTTTCTTGTCCTTTTCTGTTGTCCCCAACATAGTGAAGGGGAATGGGCCTGTCCAGTACCTTTCTACCCCCCTTATCAGTCCCTTTCCCCCCTTCTGGCAGCCTTTATTTCCATGCTCTTTCCCAGAAGCCTATCATGAACCCCATTCATGCTCCCAGTAGGCTGTCAGCTAATCTGATACCCTACTAGGTGATGGCATGACATTTAGCTAAGGTGCTAGCCCCTCAAGGACACCCCCCCCCCACAGTCTTCTTGTCCTGGAGTTTTAACTATGTAGCTTGAGACCCTTTTCTTCTTCTTTGGTTATTTAAGGAGTCTTCCTTAATGGGGTATAGCTGTCATGGTGGCATGAGAGATTGTGTCCTGGCATTTGGGGCTAAGACTCTGCCTGGTGCCTCATTGAAAACACCCCAGGAAAGTGGCCACTTACCCAGCATAGGCCAAGAGGCTTTCTTTGTAAGAGCAGAAAGCATTATTGAAAGGCGAAGCAGTATTCTTATTCTCCCCCTTCTCATGTCTCCATAGCGACCCCTGATTTGCCATGTAATCTTTATTGTAAAGCCCCTAACTGGGATGTGGGCCCAGGCAGTAGGCTCCCTCTGACTGCGTCGGGAAGAAAAGCCACCAGGGACCAGCTGACAAGAAGCATCCACCTGTGTGCAAGCTGCCAGCCCATCTCTGCCTAATGGCTTGCTTGTTTAACTGGTGGCTGCTGTCCATTGTAGGGGTAGTTAGCATAGCCAAACAAGAGGGTGTCAAGCCTGGCAGCTGCATTCCTTGTGATGCTGCTTTCTCTTTGGTTTCCAAGGTGAATGGTTTGCACGCTTACTCTCTTCTGATTTTAAAATGTAAAATCTCCCCTATATTGTCCCTCCCTCCCTCTCCCTCCCCAAATGAAACCTTTCAGCCTGGATGAGGTTGTCTTTAGTAAATCATCATATTTGGGTTCCTCTGGCACTGTAGGAATCAATAATCTATTGAAGGACAGGAGTGGGGGAGGGGTCCGGCATGGAGGAAGCAGCTGGTAAGATAAAATATGTCCCATGATCTTGGGATTATTGTTTATCAGCTGGCCTCTGATTCTGCTAGTGGTTGGGCTACATGCAGTCAGGATGACTTAGGTTCAATTTCACCTGACACCTAGAAAGCTGTGTGATCTTGAACAAGTCACTTAACCTTTATGTGCCTCAGGCCACTCCCTAGGACTGGTCTCCCGAAGTCTTAGAGCTCTGCTTTGGTTGGTGAAGGATTTTTCATACTCTTGTAGCATGAGAGTACAGGTGTATGTGCATGCGTGTGTTTGTGTGTGCGTGCATGAATGTGTGATTGAGTATATGCATATATGAGTGTACATGTGTGACTGTGTGTGTGATTGTTCATGTATGACTGTGTGTGTGTGTGTGTGTGTGTGTGTGTGTGTGTGTGTGTGTGTAAGGGTGGGAGGGTAGGGTTAAAAGTTCTGGTAACAGAGGAGCTACTTCCCCAATGTGGGGACCCTCTCAAGGAAACCCTGACATCTCTTACAGAAGTCCCCATTCTCTGTAGCCCTGAAGACCATACTGCTGCTGCTGACTCCTCTTTCTTTCTTGTAGGTGCTGTCCACTCACTCCCCAAACCCTGCTTCTCACACCTTCTATTCTCTCTCCCTCTCCCTGTATCCTCTTCTGCCCCACTCCAGCCTGTGCTATTGCAATGGCTGCCCTGCTCCCAGGCTCTCCCTTTCCACTTGATCTTTTACAGGTTTGCCTAAGTAATCTCTCCAGTCATGTAGCCCCCTGCTCAGAACCCTTCAGTAGGCTCCCCATTGGCTCTGAGACAGTCCTGAGTCCTCAGTTTGACTTCTAAGCCTTCCACAAACTTATTTCCACCACCTTGCAA